CCAGAAATGCCTTTTGGGACCAGAAACGCCCCTGGGGTGTGTCTTTAAGACGAACTTCCTCATGGCGGAGCACACCCCCACCCACACAATCCCGTCCATGACTCCTGCAGGCTTTCGGGTGAAACTGAAAGTGAAACCTAACTGTCTGCTGAGCTCTCAACATTACCACTACTTCTCACTCAGTGAAGCTCTTTTCAGATTAAAAATACCTTTGAGGAAATGTATTTTCAGATGCCAAGTAAACTACATCATAGCAGCCCCCCTGCACTGAAATGGGCGAGACAGAAGCGGAAGGTGGTTCTTAAAGAGACGGAGGCCAATTTCAAGGCGTTTAGAAGAGGAAGTGATGAGAAGATAAGTTTATTTTCTATTTACACATAAAAACAGCATTTTAATAACAGCTAAAGGTGACATAGATACTTTATTATAGTATAGTATTTAAATGTATGCCTGAGAAACACATAATATTACCCTTTGAATGAATAAATCTAAGGTCTGAATCTTTACAAAAAGACATATTGCAGGATTGTTAAATAGAATAACAAACAACTGCTTAAATGATAATTTGATTGTTTACAAAAATCATGTACAGGTTTTTTTTATAAATCACATTACTTACCCAGTGTTTTCCTCTCACTGAAAAGAAAAATTGAGACTCAATTAATATGATTTCAACAACCTAATATCCATGAAATTGTACTAGATAAAAACATATACAATACAAGAAACGTGAGTTACTGCAAAGGTGCAATACCTTTTTTCCTGTGTTACAGGTGTTGCTTTGGTGTCCATATATGAAAACGATACAATAGCAAATGGACAGGCGGCACTGGGAGACAGAGCTGTCCCATTGCTTCCATCATCTAGCAGCTCATATATGTAATACTGAGACAAAACAAAAAGGCACTTCAGCAACACTGTCGTGCTAACAAAAACATCACGCCAAAATGTGAAAATATTTCAATTTTACCTGAGTTCTCTCGAAAGCAAGAAAGGAGCTGGTTTTGTTGGATACTGAAGGCAACTGTTCCGACACGTGGCAGTCAAAGCCCACAGAGGGTTCAGTGAAGTTCTGGGTGTAGTTCTCTACGACCTTTTTGACTTTGCCCTGTCAGCAACAACAAATTACTCATAGCAGCGGCGGTCAATATCTCACATGAATATATTACAATTTCATTTTTCATTACCTTTGTCAGCCTGATTATGGCAATGTATCCAGATTTCCCATGATACCAAGGATTTTGATCCAAACAGTCAGAGTACATTGATATGTACACACCTTTTTTTTAAAGAGAAGACATATTTGAACTCTATATATAAATACAGGCAGGGAATAAACACATTTGAGAAACATAAGGTAAACAATACAATTTTCTAAGTAGTGTTTTGAAAGACTCCAAAAACGTTAACACTCCTACAAATCATCAACCACACCCTGAAGGATGACTGGGCATCTTCTGTGAGCACACCTTGAGTTCAAAACAATGGTTTGTTGTGCTCAATACAGTTGACTGAACCAGGGGCCTCATGTACAAAGACTTGCGTGGATTTCTTACTGAAACGTGGCGTACGGTCAAATCCAGAAAACGGCGTACGCACAAAAAAATCCAGATGTACCAAACTGTGCGTACGCTGGAATCCACGCACATTTCTTTTGTACGTCACAATTAACGTGGAACTGAGCGCAGGTGAGACACCTCCCCTGACACGCCTTCATTAACAGATGTCAAACAGATGCTAATTACTTCCTGCATGTGTGAAGGACACGTTTGAGTGGTCCCTGCGCGATCAGAAATGATTTCTAGAGTCATGAAAATAATGAATTTAATACAATGTGAGTGAGAAAAAAATCCTAAGTAAAAATAGGAATAAAATATGTTTATCACGCAAAGAACGAGTGATTGTGTGTCGGTGTGTGTGCGCGCATGGTGCTATGTTGCGCAACCGGCTCATCACTTTGCGCACGAGTTTATTACCAATACTGTAAACACAGTAGGGCTGTGTATTGGCAAGAATTTGGCGATACGATACATATCATGACAGAGGGGTCACGATACGATGTATCCCGATATATTGCGATACTGTAAACAAGGCAATATATTGTGATGTTTTTGTCCAAAATTTCTATTAAACAAAAACCTCTTACTGGGAAAAAGAATGAAAAACCAAAATTCATTGTCTCAGAAAATTCTAATATTACATAGACATACTTTTGATACATATAGCTGTGTTCTGCTTTGTATGTGTTTTATTTTATTTGTTTCATATTTCATCCATGTTCTCAAT